TGCCTTGGTAACTGGATGTCTTTTTGCTCTCATCTGATTATGTAATCTTTGTCTTTAACCTCATTCCTCTTTTTTATAGTCTATAATTTTGCTTCTCTCTTGTTTCTATGATTTGAGTTCAATTCAGTACACTGTTACCTAACTTATTAGTCACTATGCATCTAACACACATCTCATCTTTATTATTGTTATGTTCTAGTTTCCCCGTCGCCAAATTGTTATGTACTCGTCGCTGAATTATTGTTATGGACTGGTCGAGAAACTAATAGTCCTGACGCGAGAAGGCGGAAATCAGAAGACCACTAGGTTTGTGATGATACTTCTATTGTCCAAACACAAGGAGACGAAAATAAATGGTCTCACACCAAAGTGGTAAGCAAGTCAAGTAGTTGTAAAGTAAAGTAGTTCACACAAATTGTGAATGCGAATATATATAATAATTCAGACAGGCGTGGGAAAAATCATTAGACAGTCTTAACATGAATGGCTAATTATAATGGAGTGTCGATCCAATTATACATAGCGAATATAGCAGACATGCCAACAAACATATATGGATATATGTCACCAAGCAACGGACTGTCAACAAACACTCATATTATATATAATATAATATAAGGAGAATACACATTATTAAAGGAGACAAGTTCATACAAGTGAAGTGGTCACAGACTAACCGAGCAAACAGAAAGAGAGACCAACATGCACACACACACATAAATATATATATGTGGATACATATCAATTATGTAACTCCCTTACCACTGTATGCATACATTTATTTTGTTTAAACTTGAACTGCCGGTGTAAAAACTATACAAGTGCAATTTCCTGAGCACCATTCACTAATTGTGGAACTTTCTGTCAACTGACATGTAAAATTTGCAAGTATGTTAAAACTTTTCTGTACTTAAACCTCATAATTTATTTAGGCTGTACGCAGCTGATGAGAAGCCAACGGAATAAATGATGGTACCATATTATTCTGCACAAACCACTGCTGTTCTTGCTTTATTTAAACAACACACACAATCAACTAAATGTTTCGATTTTGTCATGGTAAACATGGCTACCTATCTAGTTGCATTGCATTTAACTTTGGGAGATGAATTTTACAAACATTGGTGACGATTAAAAATATTACTAGCTTTGAAAATATTTTACACTTAGAGACTATTGTACGGATCCATATATACGTGTGCAAACATTGTGAACAGTAATAATATGTAATCACATATTGATTTATTTATTGGATGTATTAGACACTGAGTGAAACAGCAATGTTTACTGGATGGCAACGTTTCTAACACAGTTTATTGTTTATACTCATATCAGTTACAACTAGACAACTTCGAAATTATACAATCCCACTGACGAAACGCGTGAAGCTATCGCCCATTCAACTTTCAGCCACTCGACCATGGTCTCGAAACTTTCTTTGCTTATTGAATTTCGAGCAGCCAGGCAGTATTACTGGCCCTAATAAGAAAGAAAGGTTTATCTCAATGCCAGCTAGACTGAAGTACAAGTGATTGTTAGGTACTTTTTAAAATATAAGTTCGAACTAGTTACTTCAACAGTTGCTCAGCAGTATAAAAACGTCCACTACTTCAGAGGTCGGGAACTCAATTCCTGATCCCACTATTATTATGACATTGAAGGGCTTCAATCTTAAGCAGATTGAAGAACTAAGAGCACAATATTCAGCGAAGAGACTCTTTTCATCGAATTTATTATCAAGGTGTACAATCGTATACATATGGTTTTATTTTAAGAAGTTACATCCAGTGAGGGAATTAGGTCAAACGTGTGAATACATGAAATAATAATGATAGTAGTATGAAATGCAATTAAAACTAAAATGTTTGTGATTATAATCATAGTTAAATGTCAAGTGGCAAAATAATTAATGTCATATATAGAATAATACATAAGGTGTATAGATTTTGGAAAGGTATACATAATTATAGGATTAGTAGACGAATATAAAATGTTACATAACATGGTGTGAAATTTGAATAGATAGAGTTCAATACTGTAAAAATACAAAAAATTAATAATTTTGGATTTAAAATGTCAAGTGGGTCAGGTGGAAAAGATTCAGAGTGAGAATAGGAATAATAATAATAATCGTAGTATCAAGGGAGAGGTACATAGAATAACTAAATAAACGAAATAAATAAATGTCTATCCCTCTACGGCCAAGGCAGAAGTAGGGATTCTACATGCTTCTTTTGTACACAAAGGTCTGGCTTAAATTTATGAATCGCCAAGGCCTCCGCTGTCTTTAGAAGTCTGTAACGAAGAAAACGCGGGAAGTTAGCATGGATTCTATATATGATCTTGAGGTCATGGTCAGGGTTGACAGAAGTCTATCACGTGTTCCCTAATAGAGCTTTTCACACGCTTCCTTTCTCCCTTGTAAAACCATGCAGCTGGAATATGTCGTATCCGTGTGGAAAGGCCAACGTATCTTGCTCCACAAGAGCAGGTAAACTGATAGATGCACATGGAGGCGGCCAGATGGGGGAGCTTATCTTTTACAGAGGTAGAGAACAACTTGCGGCTAGTGAACATCATATGTAATTTTGCTGCAAAGAACGTCTGATTTAGAGAGACAATTTTTGAGCATATCTGAAGCTTGATTACCTTTGAATTCCAAGTTCATGAATAAGGTTTTCTTTGGAACTGAGTCGGTGACAATAAATCGGTTAGACTGAAGAATGTCCTACTGAATACATACTATCATGAATACCAAAAAAGATAAGTGTCTCTCTACGACTTTAAATCAAATCTCTTTTTAATCCATAATAATCACGTGGTCACGCTTAACTTCCATAGAATCATCACACACCTCTGAGTGGCATGTAGACATCGGTCATATAAATGTAACTGCCTTTATCCTAAAACGCGGTAGAACAGCACTATCTGGTGATATGACGCCAGCGGTGTTTATGCATGGTATTGATTCACTGTTGACTTGAATGCGTTAGGTAATATATTAGGTTATGAGTAGAATTCAAAGATATTTAAAAACAAACTGTTGTAAATCATTAACTGTCCCAGTTTGTAAGAGACGAATCTGATCGGGATAATCACAAGGGGAAAAACTTGACCAATATAGTATCTAAGATTGTAGATTTAGTAATTGTGTGTAGACTTAGCGGTGATCGGAAGAAACAAACTCACAAAAACCACGCAATCTCTACGCCCGGACAAGGGTGTACCGAACCTTTATTTGTCCCTCAACGGATTTTGGAACATGGGCAAACTTACCAGCGCACGACACATGCCTTATTTATCGACCTGAAGGTGAAGTTTGACCCCGTCGACGGAGAGGTGCTGTGGCAAGGCACCCTAGATGAGCACATGCAGTTGTTGGGTACCTCATTGAGAGTTGTCATGTGGTGTCCTTCAGGGACTTTCAATGTCTCCATCCCAAGTATACTAATGGAGTCCTCAAGACGCTAGGAACTAACAGCTAGAGACCATTAGTGATTGTGTCTGTGTAACCCCATCTCAAAGTGACCATATGTGGTCCTTCCCAGTTTGGAAACTGTTGGCCTGACCCTGTCGCACATTCGTCAGTATTTCGCCTTACACTTTCATATGCTGCTTTCTCCCGACCTCCCAGCAGTGATCCAAGTAGCAGCCTCATCACTGACAGATCTTGAACGCCACTCAACTGCGCAGAAGCCTTGAAGTTCTGCCCGAAGATCCATGTCTCCATCAAAGACTGCAAGACATAGGCTTTCCATTTGTCGCTAGGCAGCGACACCAAATATAACAACATAATACAAGGGCCATGCAACAGATCGTTTATTAAGGAAATCAACACATTTATATATTTTCATGTACATTATTATAGATTATTTAAGCAAACAAACAGTCTTCTGATTGGTTGTTTCTCACTGAAAGTTAATCTTTGTGGCTGCTTCTTGAATGTCAAATCATCTATATGTTAACTGTATCCGCCTACACAAAGTCTTTGTTCTGATTTTTCTCACGACCAATATTTGGGACATAAATATTGACGTAAATTATTGTCTACCAATTTGACGAGCAGCCAGCTCTCACCGAAATATGACGCAAAGTCGTTTTCCATGGCACAGATACATTCACTTAAACACCTCAGCTAGACAACCCTATAGCATTCAACATAGTGCAGACTAATGATGAAAAACATCATTGATTGGTAGGATGCTGTGGTCCAACGACTCCTAACCCCTTTTTTTGTTAAGCTAGTTCAACGTTAGTAAACGACAGTTATTGATTATTGTGTTGTAACACAGACTCCCCACCTCACCCCCAACCATAGATACACAATTATGAATCACATATGCGTCTATATAAAACATGTTTATAAATATAATTGCAGAGACATTATAAATATAGTGAGATGTACATATGTATTTGAAAAAAGGAAAAGATGAGAACAATAGAAATTCAATCTTTAAAAAAGCCTTACTAATATCAAAGTGTGTGTGAAGTGAAGAAAAAGCTAAGAAAGAAAAACCGATGTCATTTGCTTTCTATCAAAAACTAAAGTTGCATTGCTTTTTGAGTTCATACAACATATACTACTGCTATTAAATACAAGTAGTATGTGTACTCCTGAAACTACTATATATATATATATATATATATATATATATATATACCCCTCAACAGGATTATTCGCTAGCTAACCGAACAGCTATTTCATGTATTTCGATAATAAGCCTGCTGTCCAGAGGGATTCACCTCCGGTGAGAGAGGGAAGGGGGCATCTGAAAATGTCTCAAACCATCATCCACATTATAACTTAACTACCTACATAAATTGAATTTCAGAAATACAAATAAACATCATGACTAGGTAAGTAAAAATTAGTGTGGAAGTAAATTGCACTTGTTTACGTTATAAAAATTATTGCAGAATAAAAACAGGAAGGGGAAGAAGAAGACACCAAATACAAAACAAAATAAACTACAGGGCAAAAAGGAGAAAAGAAAAAAAAGTTACATAATAATATGAGGCTCAGAGACAGATTGTGATATTGAATTATGCGGTAGAACAAGTGCTCCATTCAAAAACAATTCATCTTTCACGGTTACATCTTCACCTAGAACTGTAACATTTTCCATTCTCACCTAAAATACAATATAAAGAAATACTATTAGCATACTAAAACGGTGTGCAGTTTATATATATATATATATATATATATATGTTAGAGAAGATTTGTAGCTCAGGTGGACGATTTTTAGGCGGTTGTGTTCTCGCAGCTGGATAGTTAATTTGCGAAGCTTTCATCGCCCTACTAGGCGACATCTTCAGCGCGTACTTCTATTCAGTGAAGTCACCTTTTAGATTTCTCCACGAGTTTATTAATCATCTCTCCCGGTAAGAGTGACCTTGGACGTGATTGGTTGTTTTTGTGTGTTTCCACACCTTCTCAACCTCGCCTAGATTACTAGCTCGCTAGTTTTCTTGCCAGTCCCAAGCCCGGATAAAGAGGAAGGGTTGGGGCGTGGTGCTAGCAACTCCACCTCCGTAAAACAACCAAATCGATACAGAAACTTGAACGCGCAAATATATTAAAAATTCTAAAAATATAAACAATAGCCTTATTTTTCGCTGGAATCGGGGAAGTGAAATGACGCAGGCTGGTGAAAGCCTTCGGGAAGCCAGTCAGCCGATGTGCCTTCTTTCGATGAAAGCAAAAGTAAGGATGGGTACCTGGAATGTTTGTACAATGTACGAAACTGGAAAGGCTGCCCAGATAGCCGCTGAAATGAGAAGGTACAGAATAGAAGTGTTGGGAATCTGCGAGAGCAGATGGAACGGAACTGGAAGGTGCCAACTACCTACTGGAGAGACAGTAATCTTTTCCGGCCACCTAGAGGACAACCATGAGCACACCGAGGGAGTGGCCATCATGATGTCACCAACAGCAGCTGAAGCTCTCATGCAGTGGGAACCAATCTCCTCCAGGATAATGACAGCCAGGTTCAACTCAAAAGGAAGGAAAGTACCAGTTATGCGCCTACAAACGTCTCAGAACAAGAAAACAGGGAGGCGTTCTACAGACAACTACAAGCAATAATGGACAACGTCCCAAATGGCGATATGAATGCGAAGCTGGGAGGAGACAACACAGGAAGAGAACTCACCATGGTTGGAGAGGCCCTCGGTGAAATGAACGACAATGGTGAACTCTTCTCAGACTTCTGCGCCTTCAATGATTTGGTGATTGGTGGCAGTGTGTTCAAACACAAGGATATACACAAGACGACATGGATTTCACCAGATGGAAACACCAAAAACCAAAGACTTCATCTCAATTTCAAGAAAGTGGAGACGGAGCCTACTGGACACAAGGTCAAGGAGAGGAGCAGATGTGGGTTCAGACCACTATCTAGTACAAGGGACTTTCAAGGTGAAGCTAAAAGCCTCGAGGATAGCTGGGGATAGGCCACAATGCAAGTTCAACACTCAATTACTGAAGGACACAACCACAAAAGACACTTTCACTGCAACTGTCAGAGCAAAGCAGGAAACACTACGCGACATCACTGAAGAATCATGCGTGGAAGAACATTGGAAGTCTCTGAAGGCGATTCTCAACGAAACGTGTTCAACGGTTCTAGGAAGAAAGAAGAGACAAGACAAGGAATGGCTCTCAACGGACACTTGGAAATTAATAGAAGAGAGGAGAATGGTGAAAGAGAAAATGATTCAATGCAAGGACGGACAGGAGAAGGAGACGATGAGCTCAACTTACAAAGCATTGGACAAAGAAGTGAAGAAGAGTGCTAGGAAGGACAAAAGACGATTCTACGACAATCTGCCACTGAAGCTGAGAAGGCAGCAGGCAAAAGGGACCTGAGGACACTATATCAGATAACCAAATCTCTATCCGGGAAGAGATCAACACAAGCGAAACCTATAAAAGACAGCCAAGGGAACCCAATTACCAAGGAAGAAAAACAGATTAAACAATGGGCGGATCACTTCAAAGGACTCTTGAACCGACCATCACCTGCAACCCGTCCAGAAATACCAACAACAGCGCGTACACAACTGCAAGTTGACACCAATCCCCCAACGAGAGCTGAAGTCTTGAATGCAATCAAGCTTCTGAAAGCTGGAAAAGCAGCTGGACCAGATGGAATACCCACTGAAGCACTGAAAGCGGACCCAGAGACGACAGCAGATATGCTGACTCCATTATTGCAAAAGGTCTGGAAGGAGGGAAAGGTGCCTACTGACTGGAAGAAAGGTTACCTCGTGAAACTACCAAAGAAGGCCGACTTACGCCTCACTCTGCAAGAACTGGCGAGGAATCATGCTCCTGTCGACGCCAAGTAAAATCCTGAGTCGCATCATCCTGGAGAGAATTAAGGACGCACTGGATACAGAATTCCGACCAGAACAAGCTGGATTCAGGAAAGTCAGGCAAATCATGTTCTGACCAAATTGAAACTCTACACATCATCATCACAGAACAAAGCATGGAATGACAGTCGAACCTCTACCTTAACTTTATAGACTTTGAGTAGGCCTTCGACAGACAGCGTTGACCGCGAAGTAATTTGGAAACTACTTGAGTACTACGACGTACCTCAAATATTCATCAACCTTATTCAACAGCTGTACGACAACTCCATATGTCAAGTGATGCAAAAGGAAAAACTCAGCGAGGCGTTTGGAATAAACACAGGAGTCAAACAAGGGTGATTATTATCATCACTCCTAGGTAAACAGGAGAAATCAGTGGACGAAGTTGTGAAGTTACAAAGACTGAGATGGTTAGGACATGTGTTACGTATGCCTAGTCACCGCCTCCCTCGACGAGCAATGTTAGCGGATATAGGGTCAGGCTGGAAAAAAGCTAGCGGCGGTCAAACAAAACATGGCACCAGTCAATGAAATCTACAACCGTTAGTCTAAGTCACGTAGGAAGGTGTAGACTTCCAGGCTGGGGTCCTCGGGACGGTAAAAATCTATGGTTGGAAACAATTGGTGACATGGCTCAAAATCGTTCTCAGTGGCGCAGATGCATCCACTCCTTGTGATTTATGATTTCCAATGAAACTGTTTTGTTCTTCGTTATTACTATTCCTTTGTCTTACACCTCTGCTTACTGTCTCTATTATGCTTCTCTTGTACTTTCTTCTATTGCTTCGCGTGCTACACGGAGTGTGGCGACTTGAACTGCCGCACATATGTGCAAAGTTCTATGTCGAAAACGGACAGACCAATGATATTCCTAATTGTGATGGAACGGATTATGCGTCAGACAGTGAGTGGGAAACGAGAAACAGAACAGCGATATCCTGGACCGACGTGAAGAACCTAGAACCTAGACCTGGATTTCGCGCGTGGATGATTTATGTTTGATGTCACACACACAAAATCGAAGACTTACAAGCGAAAACCGACCGACAAACTGGTCGAAGAAGCAGTCTGCAAAGACAGGACTCCAGGTGAACATAGGCAGGACGGAGGTTATGAAAATAACCAACCAACCAACAACAACAACAGCAGCAGAAACATCCAGCCAGCAGTCAATCATCATCAACGGGAGGGATTTGAAAGAGGTTACTTCATTCACTTACTTATCTAGGGAGTATTGTCTCAACTACAGGCAGTAGGAACGGACCAGGATGTCAAATTGAGCGAGAATCCGGAAGGTGAGAAACGCACACATTCATCAACCAACCTGAAACCAATCTGGAAATCTTCGTCACTCAGCCAGCATGAACAACTAAATTCGGTGGGATTTTCAATGCAAACACGTCAAGTCAGGCAGCTCTTCAATACGGGTAAGAAACTTGGCGGGCGAGCGGGTCACAAAGAATATTTCCAATAGGCTGTTGGAGACCTTCATCAACCAACAGTTGTCTTCGCTGGCTCTATACTGAGGATCAGATGGCTGGGCCGGAATGAATCACCAACAAGAAACTATGGGAACAAACAAACCGAGCAAGAACCAATCGCCATCCTACAAATATGCAGGAGAAAGTGGAGATGGATGGATTGGACATCCGCTGAGGAGATCGCTGGGTGACATCGTGCGCGCGTCAGGCCATTGCCCGAGTGGAACCAGGCCGAAAGGGAAGCACGCGGGGAGTGGGACGTCAGTGGAAGGGTGACACGGAGGAGATCGTGTGAAGAGAGAGGAGTTGAAACAGTCAGTTTGGAGTAACATGGATGCAGGTGAAAAGTACAGCAGGAGGAAGATAGAAGCAAGTGGAGACGTTCAGTTGAAGCCCTATGTTCCACTAGGAACCCAAGGGAACAATAATAATAATAATAATTAGATGTAGGTTAAAGAATAGAGTCAGGAATATCAATGGATCTCAAAGTACCATGATCTACAGTCACCTTAATGAATACATGTATCGCGCGTGGCATAATTTCTCTATGGATTATTCTTGGTGTAACTCGCAGACAATCGTACAACACGTAAGAGACAATTATGCAGTGCAATATCATGTTCATAAGATTTTTTCAAAATATATTATTAAACGATTAACAGACTGTTTTTGCATCTGAATTCTGATTGGTTATGGATGATAATTGTGATTGGCTACGATAGTTTAACTTAGCCATTCAACGCATGCAACTTATGCAAGTTGACTTTATTTATGATGCAATTACTAGTGTCATATTGAAACAATTCAAAGAATTTAAGTATTATTCACGAATATTTTTGTGTCATGTATTTTGAAATGGTATCTGTTCAGGTCATTGACATCGCATAATGGTGGTCATGATCGCTTATGGAAATATTAAAAAAAGCGTTCGAGTTATTATCTAATTAACGATCAATAGAATTAAAGCAACTCGGTGAAACAAAGAATAATATACGCTCTAACATTACCCTAATCACTGTGACTCTCTACTTTTAATTTAGATTTCGTTGAAAAGCAACGTCGTTTGGAGATCGTTGAAAACTAGGGAGTACCGTTTCGTCCTGGTTTGCATCTCTTTAGAAGTGAACACCGACAACACAACCAGGGATCGGACTCGGGACTTTCAAGTTACGAGAACCCGCTCATTGTCTATTCAGTCACCAACTTCGTCGATTCGTGATATAAGACTACCTGCAACCAATGCCCTAGATGAGCATCCACTTAATCTTGGTGTGGTGGATCCCGCTGGTCAGTTTCTCAATATAACTTCCCTACACTATGGTGGCGAAAAATACTCAGGTGAAAAGATCACCGGATGATAGCCTATGTGACTGCCTGGTTCCAGTTGTATTTATCAAAACCTGCCGATTAAGTTTAAGGTGTCATTATTAAGACAGACAAAACGACAGTATTGTCCACTGGAGTGTAGTTTAATTCGGTAATCAAAGCCAAGATTAGCCAATCGGTGAAAAATCCCCCTGTATTATTATATTATTCATTCCTTGCGTTCTGAGTGGAATATACTGCTTCAGTGGTACACTCTCAGTTCAATGCCACCTAGTTCAACTAACTTCCTCCACATGATCTTCTCCATGTCACCCTCGAAGAAACGCTAAACTCGTCGTTTCCCGTTCAGGTTCTACTCAAGAGATGGTTTAGCGCGTGATATCGCTCAATGGTCTCCCCCAGTGTTTGCCCAATCCATCTCCACTTTTAATTCTTCTTATTTGTTGGGCGATATGTTCGTGGCCGCTTCACCACCAGAATTCCTTATCGCTTATCATTTCTGACCAACAGTATAGACAGCTATTGATGAAAATCTATAGGCTGTTGGAAATAACTCTTAATGGTATGCCAATTCCCCGAGAGAAGAGTATGCAGTAAGTCATTTTCCTACTATGATTCAAGCCTATGTTACTTGATATCATACTCAGAGACTAGGCTGTTCAGGTCGGAAGTGATTCCCCAACAAGCAGGAAATCTGGTTGTAGAACATCCTATCAACTGACTGAACTTCTAATGTTAGATTGCAACGTAAAAAGGAAAGAAGATGGGAGGTCAAACACTGTCTGTCTGTCTGTTTTCGACATAGAACTTTGCACATATGTGCGGCAGTTCAAGTCGCCACACTCCGTGTAGCACGCGAAGCAATAGAAGAAAGTACAAGAGAAGCATAATAGAGACAGTAAGCAGAGGTGTAAGACAAAGGAATAGTAATAACGAAGAACAAAACAGTTTCATTGGAAATCATAAATCACAAGGAGTGGATGCATCTGCGCCACTGAGAACGATTTTGAGCCATGTCACCAATTGTTTCCAACCATAGATTTTTACCGTCCCGAGGACCCCAGCCTGGAAGTCTACACCTTCCTACGTGGCTTAGACCAACTGTTGTGGATTTCATTGACTGATGCCAAGTTTTTGTTTGACCGCCGCTAGCTTTTTTCCAGCCTGACCCTATATCCGCTAACATTGCTCGTCGAGGGAGGCGATGGCTTGGCATACGTAACACATGTCCTAACCATCTCAGTCTTTGTAACTTCACAACTTCGTCGATTGATTTCCCCTGTTTACCTAGAACTCTACGCCTAACCTCAATGTTGCTCACCTTATTATGCCACTTTACACGGGAAATAGAGCGCAGGCACCTATGATCAAACACAGCTAGTCTTTTCATGTCTTCCACTCTCAGTGGCCAGGTCTTGCTCACAGCCATAAAGGAGGACGAAGTGGACTGATGAGCAGTACACCTGTCCCTTTGGTCGATAGCCAGCCGGATATCTCGTCTACGCCAGAGACGGCGTAAACTGGCAAATGCGAAACGAGCCCCCTGTATTCGTGCTGAGATTTCGTCAGAGATCAACCCGTTGGGGCTGATGGTACTTCCCAAATAAGTGAAGCGGTTGACGTGCTCTACCACTTCACTTCCTATTTTTAAACTAAGTGTCGATGTAGTCCAGTCCTAGTGTTTACAGGAAACCCACTCATTCGAACAGACATTTGGACTTCAGATCATCCCATCCTATGTCAGTGAAAATAGGATTGGTGAAATGTTTAGGTGACAGCACAAAAACTAAGTAGTATCAAGGAAAATCTAAGACAGGAAGTGATACACATAAAAGAAGCCTTGAAACTTAATAATTACCCGGATAAATTAGTCAGAAAGTATGTAGAGATATTGAAAAATAAAATAAATAATGATAGTAGCGATAGTGGTAATAATAATAATAATAATGACGACACCAACAATAAGAAAGCTAAATCATCAGTAGTAATCCCATACAAGGAAGGAACCTTGGAAACCTTACACAGAATTCTTAACAAGGTAGGAATAAAAGTGGCTGGCATTCAAACTCCCCACAAACTCAATTAGAAACAAGCTTTGTCGGTTAAAGGATCAATCCTGTGGAGCCTTTACAACAAAACGATTTAGTTTACCTAATAACCTGCCTGTAATGATTTTCAGGTCAAATACATAGGTCAAACTAGTAGAACAGGGGCAGTCAGAGTAGCCGAACATAAAAACTTCGCAAAATCTAGATTGGTTGACCCAAATAAGATAAGAAATTTAGAGAATAGTTCAGCCATAGCACTCACTAAATGCAATTACACACAACCATACAATAGGATGGGGTAGGATAACAGTTTTAAAATCTAATGTCACAGGGTGAAAGGAGAGTTTGATAACAGAAGCTTTGTTTATCGAATCAACTGCAAACAAGTGTAGTAGGAATGATTCAACACCTGTCCACCCAGATATCTGGAAAATTCTACTACCCCAACGACGACAAATAGGAGAAGAGAAAGGAAACTACAAAACTCAAGTTCCGAAGTCGTGTGATTATAATTGATGCAATGATTATGAATAATAAATTTTGTTCGAAACTTTGTCATCCAGTATATACTAATACTGTTTCACTGTGTGATATATCTAATAAACAAACTAATATGGAATTATCAACTGACTCGCCTAACAATGAACAAAATCACTTATCAAAACTTATCTTCATTTACTTCACATTTTAGCCTTATTATTATTATCATTACTTCACTATTAAAAATGACTGCACTTAACTCGTGGTTTTTTGTATTCTCCTTGTACACTGTAATCTTCTTCTTTCCACAATAGTGAAAATTTCTTTTTAACATTTTAATCACATGAATATTGATTGATTAAGCACTTTTGTTTATGGCATTTACATTTCTTTTTATCAAAGCCTAAATGCGAACATAAAGTCATGAGAAAAGTATTTCTCTACACAAAAAACGGAGTTTTTCATTTTTTTAAATCTGAAATTAATAGGGAAATCTATTGCACTCAACATAAAGCACATGATTCGGATCTCCAACACTAATGTTAATTCAGTCACAGTGCTTTGACGCATAGCTTAAAGCACTACCAACAGACTGCAGACGTCTAACACCAGCTTTCCCTCGCTCAATAGTGAAGGCCAGGTGATCGGCCAGAAAGGATTAGCAACAAGGAACTCCTCCGTGGTGCAGAAAACCAACCAAAAAAACGTATTCCCTAACTAAAACGCCAAAGAAAATTGAAATGGATCGGACATATGCTACTGAGCCCGTAGAGTGACGTCAGGCGCCAAGACCTCGGATGTAACCCGAGTGGGGAACGATGAGTTGTGAATAGCAGAACATGAGAGCTTATAGGCAATCATAAAGCCAAGAGGGAACATCCTACAGGGAATAGGATGAAATGGAAGTGAAGTGCTGAAGCCCATGTTCCCCTAGGAACCTAAGGGAATAACGATAATAATAATAATAATTTGCTAGCATGACTTACCCACTTTCCAACAACTGACCGCCAACCGACAATACAATTGTTCAACCATGCATGTGATTTAATAATTGACTTTGAAAATATAGCAGAATTACTTATGCGTACACCGTCTTCAATAATAGCACCTGCACCTATTGTTACATTAGGTCCAATTCGACAGTCACGACCTATTTTTGCGGTTTCGTGCTAAGTAGTCAAAAAATAAAGCTAACCGGATTAATTTCAAAAAGCATGTGTATTACTAACTTAACTGAATTCCGACATAAAAAATTTGCACAATAGTGCAGCAGTGCAACTTACCACACTACATTTACTGCACAAAAGTAGACAAAAGAGAGGAAAAAGACATCCTGTAGAACCATAATAAGCAAAAATGTGAGGGACATGGAAAAACAATAGGGTTTGGTCAGTATGGGAGATCACATATACTGAAAACATCTCCACCACTGACAACGATTTCAAGTCATATCACCAACAGTATTCAATCATTGGTTCTTGCCATTCTGAGGAACCCAATCAGGGAGTCTACACCCCCATCCAACCCCTACGTGACTCACACCTACTGTCACAGATTTCATGGCCTGATGACACGCTTCGGTCTGACCCCGTCCGCTACTAACTTATTTTCAAAGTAATCTTGCATAAGCTAACATTGGCTGTCGAGGAAGGTAGTGGATCGGAATGCGCGAAACGTGTCCTAGCCATCTCAATCTATGTAGTCTCACAACCTCAGTGATTGACTTATCCTTACAGACCACTAACATAGACTGTGGTAGCTTTCTATCCATCTACTAAAGTAAACAAATATAGCATGCATAATTCGTCTTCAGAGTATTTTAAAAATATTCATTGGATTATTCCTTACGGATGTTGACCCGAGAACGACAGTAAGAAGTGAGCTTCAGTCGTTTCCACATTTGATTTTCAGGTTGATGTTATATTTTTGAGTGTTCGCTAGCAAGGAATTGATTGATTTCAAGTTTGGTTGGGAATTGACTTCATTTCATTTAGAGGACCAATGGAAATCAAGGAGTACCGAAGAGCTGTTTCATCCTGTTTTGTGACACTTCAACAGCATAAGGGGTTAAACCCGGGAAATTTAGGTTACAATGCGAGCTCGTTGAGCATTCAGACACTAGGACCGAATCCAATGGACCATCATTTCTAACTTCTGCCCATTCGCGACATATAATACTATCGCCAACCAATGGCGAGTATTCGTCCCCACAACGAGCTTGGTGAACCGCACTGACTACGACTTAATACTAGAACTTCAGGCGACTTTATCCTGTAGTCAGTCACTAGTGAGCATTGAGTTTTATTACTTCTCCTTTAGTACACGCTAATTACATCTGCCTTTGTTGTATCATAAATTAGGATCAGAAACCCATACATTTGTGCACCAAAATATGAGAAATCCCTAGTACAAGTATACAACTATACTCATAAGATGCTGGTAAGATTAGGTACTATCTATGGTCTGATGAGTGTAGTAAATTTGTTGAGGACTAATAAAAATCTCAGTGATTCTATTTTCTTCCAGTTAAAGAAAAACTGAGCTTTATACAAAGATAATGCAAGCAATCTAGAAGCTAAGCGTACAGTCCTAGTAGAACAAATAGGATTTATAAACCTCCACTCCCTGAAGCAATTGAGAAAAACGCTACACATCCTAATTTATAGTACGATTACGCTTCAAGAAAGCAATAAGCAGACAGAATAAAAGGTAGTAACAGCTCAGGAAGTGGATATATATCTATATGAGCTATGTGAAGCACAGATCACGTGGCTATGGTTCACCTTACCGCAGGTATCTAATGTTACAGACTATAGATATAATAGCTGAAGACTGACAACAGTGATGCAAAAGCATTAGTAACAAGTACTCCTCCCAATGGTTATGTAGCATTTCTTAATTTGACTGATCTTTTCTTGTTTCCTTAAGACATTCTATTACTGAGTAACTTATCAACGTAGGATCCTGCGTTAAAGTTAAACACTTTAGATTACTAAACTACGGAGAAAGATACCGAGAAAGGGGAAATAAGTCTAATGAAAATACAATGGACGAAAATGCGCGCTAGAGAAAATGGTCACATGAAGGTTGGAGTGAACTTTCAGAATCTGAAATTAAGAGGAAGTGAATACGTTTACGCCATTAAGAACCCCTTAAGCAGTGATTTTTGACATATAGACACGCAATCTGCATCCCCTGTGTGGTTCAAATTAAAAATGTAAGTACCATTTTCCCCCTGACAATCCTTAGATCTTCTCCTAAATAATTTTGTTCCCACCAGGACTCCTCATCGTGAGAGGTGGTAGCTCGACATGAACACAGCCTTATAACCCTTTCATAACTGACTTCTCCTCCTTCCTCTACATCCTAACCATATAAATGAACATGTTGCTGAATTTAACAAGATAGACTGATTTTAACCGGATTATTCTCATTTACCTGTCTCTATATTTATTACTTTTAGCTTAAGATGAAGCCATGCTTTGCAACAACGTCGACCCCAACACAGGAATGTGGGGTCCTATGTTAGTAATCTTTGTCTTTATGCACATAATATAAGCTCGATTCAAATTATTGATAATGTATTTCGTTCTGCACTTCTACTGATGGCAGTCAGTGGGAACTTAAATTAGCAATTGACACATACTTTTATAACAAATCACGATCTGCAAGCCCATTGTCCATAGCTGAATCATTTGAATACTATATATCCGATTGATTTACATGACATTAGTTACACTCTATAATGTCAAAATAAGGTAAACTGTGCGTTTTTCTTCTTGAGTTCACAATAAAAGGTCTTTTAATCATAAATGTGATTATCATCTATGTCTAGGCGTGAGAGAGATTATTTGAAAAACTAACTTTACAAACTTACAACAAGGACGTTTCCAATTAGCCCTGGGTCAACTGTTAGCAGAGGTGATTTGCACTCATATAAATGACCTAAATATAATCGCAATCCAGCCAAATAATCCGCCGGTTGGCCGATATCCATCCAAAATCCTAGTATAAAATACAATAACTGAGTTTAATTTACAAACAATTTACACATTGTTTCAAAAGCATAAAAAAACCATTGAACCATAAAAATGTGTCGAATATAAATGCAGAAAAAAATGAAATAGACGCAAACTATGAAGTTAGCGTTCAGAGTGTAAAAATTTTTAAAAAGCCTAATTAAAAAATGTGAATACTAATAATTAGGTGTGTAAGTCAGCTGATTGGGGATGGGTGAGGTGCTAGAAATCCCACATAACCAGATTAACATTTGTGTAAGGTAGGATATGACATACGTAGTACGGTGACAGCTTTTTTCTCATAACTGAATGTCTGAGTTTCAACACATAACTCTGCACAATAATGCAGCAGTTCAACTTACCACACTCCATTTACCACACAAAAGTAGACAAAAGAGAAAAAAGACATTCAAAAGAACATTAACAGGCAGAAATGTGAGGGACGAATCATAGGAACATGGGAAAACATTATGGTTTGATCGGTATGGGAGATCACACAAAGTGAATACATCTCCACCACTGACAACGATTTTGAGTCATATCACCAAGTCTTCAACCATTGGTTCTTACCATCCTGAGGAACCCAATCAGGGACTCTACACCCCATCCAACCCCAACGTGACTCAGACCTATTGTCAAAGATTTCGTGAATTAATGACAGTTCAGTTTGAAGCCTACTCTCCGTAACTCATTTTTCAACCTAATCTTGCATCAGCTAACATCGCCTGTTGAGGAAGGCAGTGGATTGGAATGCGTGAGTAACACGTGTCCTAGCCATCTCCGACTATGTAGCTTCATAATCTCACCAAGTGACTTACCCTGATTATTTAATACCCCACTACTGGTCCCAAGATTACCCATTGTATTGTACCACTTAACACGGAAAATGGAGCGCAAACGCATATGTTCAAATGCAGCTAACTTCTTCAAGTCTCCCACTTTTAATGGCGATGTCTCACAGCTTTAAATGAGGACAAAACAAGCTTCTGCACAGTATAGACATCATTTGATCGATAGCCCGATATCCTGTTCACACCAGGGATGAAGTGAGTTAGTAAATGACTCATGAACCTTTTGTGTCCCTGGTGAGATTTCTTCAGCAACCAGCCTCTTTGGAGCTGATGCAACTTACCGAATGCGTGAGGTGTTCAACACGTCCTATCAGTTCAGAAGACTGCATTTTGTCAGCGTTTCCATCTAGGAAGACAACAACATCCGGATATTGTAAATCAATAAGATTGTTCTCTCCTAATTCGTTAAAGCCAGTTAGGATAAATTCCATTAGTTTATCTACGATAAAACTAAACAAAAATAGAGACATTAGGTATTCCTAATGAACATCACTCGCGGTAATCACTTCAGATGAAAACTCTACATAAACTCTTACACAGCTGCGTTAGTTCACAGGCTTTGTTATTAAACAATTATTAGTGATAAAGTTGGCTTCTATTAATTTTTTTGTCGTAATGCATGTGAAAGTATAAACAAATACACTGAGACATCAAGCTGACACCACTCTCTTAGCTTAACGAAATTGACCAAGATGTAAGAAATTATGCGCAGAAAATTTTACAATCACGTCTAATAGGTCATTAGGAACTCACTCTCAAGATGGTTTAGAACAAAAACAATTAACCTGTAGCGATAAGTTTTCAACATTACTAGTAGGTGTGCATAACCATTGATAAATAACACGCTGACTAGTACACTTAGTTAGCATCTCCAATTGCTTTTCACAAGTAGACCTCCTATAATTTTAAGTGCAGCCAGTTATATTGTTTGTGGCGAACTCTTAATCCCCCCCCAGTTTATTAGCTTTAAATGTTATAATAATAAAACCACCAAAATGACTACAAGCAACTTCCTGATATCGTACCATGTAGTAGGTAAGTCAGCAGTGTTTCCGGTTGATGAGAATATAAAGTAATCATATACATCTTATGGATAAATTATAGTCAAGTGAGATAAGTGACTTGTTGTCAGGGTAGTTTAAACGACCAATTTAAGTCCTGCATAACCAAAATGCATTTTAGGTGAACAAATAATTACGTGACAAAGGCTTAAGAGTTTAGAAATACGAACACCAACGAAAAAGTAGTGCAGTGCATTTATTCAAATATATGTGGGTGTATCTTTGTAAAAGGAATAAACCTGATAATGACATAAAAGTAAATAGAAAAGATCACTACATATTCTCTCACCTGAGAATTCCATGCAGTACAGTTCCCCATCTCTCACCATTGCTGGGAAGACAGCTGTTTCAATAGACATTGGTTTCGCCTGTACATTTTAGAAGTTACAAGAAATATCACCTCAATACGTTTAAGAATACTAGGTTCAAAAATATAGAGACCAGCATTTATTTTGTTGGCAATATATTCTGATGGCTTTTCAACAAAACGCTTAACAAGACCAGTTTGGTCATTATGCACGACAGCACCGTACTTTGATGGTTCTTCAACTTTGGTGACCTAAAGTTATAACAATATTTTAAAAGTATTTACTGTCATTGTCCCTTCATGACCATGAGACAAATGAAATTCAATCATTCTCTTAAAAGGGTAGTTACAAATGATGTCACTATTTAGCACAAAGAATCTTTCCCCGGCCAAATAAGGAGCTGCCTGCGCCAATGGACCGCCTATAATAAGAAAATAATTGTGAGTGTTGCAGGAAATACCAGTATCCAGAGCTTCATCTTCATATGAAAATATCAACTTAACATTCCTATTTTGTATCACCTTTACAAAATTAATACAAAATACCAACAACTTACTGAATTACAGTGCTCCCTTATGCTTGCTTCTAAAGGCTCAGCTTGGCGGTTGATTGCAAGTACAATCTCACTTATATCAACCTAAAACCAAAAACCAATAATTCATATTTCCACTACCTCTAGCAAAGCTTTTATCTGATGAAGAAGCATAGGTTTATTGGCGAATTCAACAAGTGGTTTTGGAATACTAAGAGTCAGTGGACGCAGTCTAGTACCATATCCTCCTATAAGTATTAACGCCTTCATATTTCTGTGAGATTCGCAATAGGCGGGAAACCTTGAAGAGAGGACTCACTCTCTGAAACACTAAAACACGGTATTTAATCCCCATTCATTAGTTATATTCAAATAATTAGGTAATTGTAAAGAAAGGCAAGCCAACGAAAGAACTTTAACATCCATAATTACCTTTCTTCTCGTATAATAGCTCAAAATCAAAATGGCACGTATCCGATATAGTTTTTATGAGGTAGTGTAAACCAGACTGATCCCTTTTTGCTCGCTTCTTAGTTTTAAAGTAGAGGTTCCTTGTCCTTGTCAAACTTCTGTGTGGTTTGTCACGCCACTTAACTGTTGTAGCTCTGGTTGTCTCCAACAGGAGTAGTACTGTGGTTGGTTATGTACCGTTTGGGGTAAGCGGTGTGCTAAGACTGTGCTGCTGTTGTGAATGAAGTTGATCCTTTCACCCATCAACTATCCGGCGAGGTCAAGTGGAGAGATAATAATAATAATAGACATAACCATTGTAGATTATGTCAACCTGAAAAGAAAAACTAATAAACAGGTAGATAATGAAATTTGAAATTAAAATATATACGCATATATAATTAGTGAATGAATAGATAGAGTAGTGAGAATATTAGGACACTGATGAATTGGCAATAGTCGAGGGTGATTTTAGGTTTATATACACTGACACTGACTGGCTTTCAAGGGGATCGGCCGTTATGACTCAGTCCTCTAATCGCTACAGGATTGTCAGGCTTCCAACCAAGTCTTTTCACGGATAGAGTCTCGACCACATCAGCTGGCAAAGAGTTCCGGGAGTAGCAAACTCAAAGTGAGAAGAATTAGAAATGAATTGGGGTTTTCGATCTCCATCTTTGATGAATTGTCACGAGAAAGCCCATACGTATTTGATAGCAAAACACTTTTGCCTCGGTGACTCTGGTCATTTGTGATCTTTCAGACAGTAATCGGATCGCTCTTAGACCTACAGTAGCCACGTGTGAACCGAGGCGATTTCTTCATCCTTTCATCACATAGTTTATTTTGGTGGCCCACTACGCATTTTTCGGCTGTCAATTTGACTCATCCTAAATGATTAGCATCCGTTCTGAGCAAAATGGGAACAACGGCAATGTGCACTTCAGGTCGCGGTCTCAGGTATAACCTGAACAACCTTAGAAAAAGCTCAGGAGTTCGGCTTACTGTCCATGCGTGAAATGAGTGACTTCATATGCGCTCGCTATATCACCGGTGTAATCTAACAATTTACCCAGTTTTTCAGGTGGAAACAGATCTAAGTTGCTGTCAATGTGGTTGAAGATTAAACGATCAGTTCATGGTTGTTTGCTCAAACCCAACTCTATATTTTAGCGGAAGTCATCCAAACTGCAGTCATCGTGTCATCGTTCGCTGTTCGTTGGAAGACAGAAAACTATCAGAGTTATTATTGAGATTTATTGTTATGACATTTATTCTTAGACTGTGTACAATAACCAAATGGTCGGCTCTGTGCAAGAATAAACGTTTCTTGAGTCACCAATCTGTGTTCTGATTTTTTTTGCGTTGGTTATTACGCATATTTCCTGAAAGTCTTACAAGGACAGTGTGAAGTCCAGTGTAGTTAGACCTGGACATTGACAGTTGCCTTTTGATGTTATACAGGATAGGTTATTGTTAAACTGTGAGTAACTTGTATATTGCAGTCCGTAGATTCTCAGTTGCACTAGTTTGTATTTTTTGGGGATGAAAGTCACACCATTAACCCATACCGGGTCCTCTAGATTTTCCCGGACTTCCTACAGCCAAACCCAGACTTCCAAGCACTTTACTACTCTCCGAATTTTTATATCATCAGTGTAAATAAAAGTGCAGCAACTAGGACGGTACGGTACGTCTTTGGTAAAAATCAAAGGCATCAGTGGCCGTAGGATAGAAACCCGTGCCACTCTTGACCCGATGATAGGGAGAGATTGAAACTGGTGGTAGTCCTCCAACTTTGAGAGGAGCAGACTATCAACAACCGTGTGATTTATTTTGTGAAGGAGAAAGTTATGGTGAATTGTATCAAATGTCTTCACGAAGTCCATGAAGACTAAATTGGCTGGAACACTCATATCAAATCATGATATACAACCATTTCAAAATGATAGTGGATTTGTCACACAGTATCCACCTATCCTGAAGCCATGTTTCGCCTCGTGGAACATACTGGTCCACTCGAGGTATCGCCTATCCCCACCCTCGAAGATCGGAGTAAGGAGGACTCTCTTCCCCTTTTTGACCGTTCTCCTGAACCTGTGAAGCATTGGAACAGGTTACATAATGGCTTGAGAAGAGCCTCAGAGCACACTACCGGATTTTGCCAAAGCATACGAACCTCCCAGAAGTGGGTTTTCTCAACCTTCCTCTGTCGTTTCGGGTTTTTTTGTACTGTATATTTTGTGTTCCCTCCTGACAAGTTCAATCCTTCTGGTCTACAGAAGTTAGGCCCACAGTGCTTTTTAACCGCCCATCAAAGGCAACATTAAGTATTTCACACATTTTCAAATTATCGAGATACTGACCTCTTGGACAGTGCCTTTTAGCTGGCAAGTTTTGCTTCCGACATGAATGAATACAAGCTTTTGAGGTTTGCCAGAAGTTTTCAGGGAAGACTTGCCTGAAATGACCTCCCATCGCCTCTGAGCTTTGTGTTGCATCGATTCCTGAGTTCCAGACATGCCACAGGGTCAATCTTATTCTTAGAGAGTGGTCACGTAACCCATGGCTTCCGCTTGCTTGTGAAATATGCTTGTTTGTCTGTAGTGTGACTAGAGGGACGGTATCTCAGATTGTCGTGTGAATGATTCCTTTTACCATTTCCTGGTATTCCTCTAATGATGGCTAGGCCCATTTTGTGGACCACTATTCATCAGATAAAAGTCTTAGTGTATTTTCATATAAACATGTACATTTACAAATTTGCAAAGAACCAGACCGGAAAACATGATCGCGCGGTAACCGCTGCCTAGAAGGGCGTGATTTGAAGTTTTTAACCAGTAAATGACCACTAGTTGGGACGCAATGCAGTTGTTATCACTTTCCACCTAGTGTAGCCTTCAACATTCTCCATCAGCCCCGCATTCCTATTGGTGTGTAGCAGACTTCAGACTAATTTTCCTTGAGCACACCTCGACTCAGGATTAAGAGATGTGGCATCGCAGTCTCTAATTTTAGTGATCTGGTCATAGTCTGACTTACATGCCCCTATGTTGCTGCTTATGTTCTGCTCCACTGGAGGAAAGCCGACATATGTTGCCTAATAAATGCTTGGCGTCGCCTACGATGAAATCATATCATATTGAGCGTTGGAGTTAAGTAAGTAATGGGCCATCGCTCGTATTCATGTAAGCTCTTTGTCAAAGTATATGGCAACTTCACCCTCCACTGTGCCCCCTGTCTCTTCTGAACAGAGCCATAATGCATAAACTGACTCAATTGTAAGTAATAGGAGTTAGCCAGGTTCCTGTCAATATTATTACTTCGCAAATTATATATAGCTGCTGGACTCTAAGTTCAATCATCCTTCGTCTCAGCCTCCCCCCACTGATACATAGGCAATCGACTGTGAGTCTCACCGCTTGGCCATTTTGCGAGGTCATTGACACGGTGAAGAATGTCGGTCGAAGAGTTAGTTTTGGAGATAAATGGCCGATTCTGACGAAACCAGCCTCTTCTCGGCTTTTCCCTATGTTCAGTTAAGTCACTTGGGTGACAGTTTTTGTCATCCTTAGCCTTGCGCCGCTATAGTGTCGCTGTCGCATGTAGTTTGACCTCAGTTTGCTGCCTCCTGGAGTTCCAAAGTCGGATTTAGCAGAGGTAGATACGACCTAGAGCTTTACGTCTTGTTTCACACCACCTCTGAAGCGTTATAATAATAATAATTTATATTTCCATATAAATAAATAAATTTATTCTCACGATACAGTACATGAGGGACGCCAGTTTACAGGCATCATCAAATTGTTACAGAAATATTATTCAGTCACATTTTACAATCGATGACAAAATATGTTTAACATGTACACTGGAGATTATACATACACTTGATAAATGTTAATCCCAGTAGTATAAAACATCCTTTTCACTTATGTACAATCGTTTCTGTGCATAGTTGGAAAGATCCGCTAGATTGTCAGTGAGTGCAACACATCAGGAATTACAGAAGTATTACCTTCGCATTAACAAAAAAAAACCAGGTCTTGGTGGATGGGTTATAAGTGCCTGGGGAAAAAAAAAAGCCTGAAGTCAGTTTTCGTACAATACTTTGTTGTGTGTAGAGTCCCTGAATTATAGTTCATTGATGTGTTATTTTGAAATCAGTGATATGTTTATCTCATTTGATCTGCAATGTCATTGTTGGGAGTAGAATACATAAGCTTTAGACGCATTAATTAATGGATTTCAACTGCTTGTGGGTATTTACTTCTCGTGAGGAAGGTTTTTGAATTTTAGTTGTTACGACATGAGTTGTGGATATTGACTGCTCAGCAACATTACGGATATAAGTTCATCACATTATCTCAGGAATGTTGGGTTGTAGTTGGTGATGCATATATGATGTCCGACGAGCGTACATCTGTCCATGTGATGTTGTGGTGAGTTCTATCTTTTTCACGTTGTCGGTTTATGTCCATTTTATTCCACTTGTTGTGTTGGGTAGAAGTTTTACAAACGAAACTTCTTGTCTTTTTGAGGGTAAGTATCTTAATCGTTAATGTTTTATCTAAAATTATAAATTTATAAATATAGGCAAAAACAACAGGTGTAATATTTGAGCTTATACATTAAATGGACCTATAATTTCGGAGGCTCTCAGATAGGAACTAGGACTACTGTCGTTTGCAAACTCGTGTAGTTTGTCGTTAAGCACTTTTTTGAATGAGGCCAATGTACCTAATTGACGCATTTCCATTGGTAGTTTATTCCATATCTGTGCATACCTAATCAAATAAAACTTTTGCCTGGTAGCTGTTTTA